GGAGGACAAGCTTAGGATGTCTCCTAAACTCAACTTATAATTCATGGTCACCAACGACATCCCTCTCATATGATATATCCGTTAACTACTGACAGTCCAAGAAGTCTTTATTTTAGCTCCAAAAGAGTTCTGACCTTAAGTTGGGGATTTAGTTCAGCAGGACAAGCACCTATCTGGCAAGTGCAGGGTCCTGAGTTTGATTCCCAGCCACCCCCCAAAGACCTTCCTGGACCTCCACCAACAATATTACATTGTCTCTTTTATTTTATCCTTTTCCATACACTTGTCCACAGGAGTGAGATGTTGGCCAGTTCCTGAGATGAAGGAATAAAAGAGTATGAAGTGTGGGGAGAACCTAAGGGGTGGCAGCGATTAGATCTAGACTACAAACTTACAGTGCAGAAGAGAAAACTGCCTAAAATAACAAGGAATCAACGAACTAGATGTCACAAGGAGACCAAATTTATTGAGTGTCTTCTGTGGGTTAGACCCTGTGGCAGATGCTGAGTGTAAAAAGCAAGTCAGTGCTTTAAAAAAAAATGAGTAATTTAGTGCAAGGGTTGGCAGACCTTCGGTATAAGGTCAGATAGTAAATATTTTAGGCTTTGCAGGCCAGAAGGTCTCTACTGCGACTACTTAACTCTGTCATAGTGCAAAAGCATCTGTAAAAGCATAATGAATGAATATGACTAATTTCCAAAAAAGTATGCTGTATTAATTGATAGAATTTCCCTGCACCACAAGATACTCTTGTTATCAGTGTATTTACTTATCATTTCTTTCCCGTTATAAAATAAAAGTTTCCAAGAGATGAAAAAAATCAGTGAACGTCCATACACAAACCACCTAAATTCTAACGTTAACATTTTACTATTCTTATTTAATACATATCTAACATTTATCCAGTTCTCTTTCCATTAATAATCCATCTCATTTTTGAATGTGTTTCAAACTAAGTTGCAGACATTAGTATACTCTCCACCAGATATTTCAACATGTATAGTTAACTAGAGTTTAATAATTTTGGTTCATTTTTCCTCCTTGAGATAAAATTTACACAAAACAAAATGTACAAATCTAAATGTGCCATTCCATGAAGTCCAGTGAGTATATATTATGTACAACCTAAATCATTACTAATACACTAAACATATCATCCACAATAAATCTCCTTATATGTACTCCCAACAAATCTCTACCCTAAACCTTCCAGAGGCAATCATTGTTCTGAATTTCTTCTACCATAGATTAATTTTCTCCATTCTTGAACTTCATGTTAATGGAAAAATATAGTATATACTTTTTACGTAAAGTTTCTTTTACTCAATTAAATATTGTGAGATTCAGTTACACTACTATGGGCATCAATAATTCCTCTTTATTTCTGAACAGTAGTCTATTGCCTGAATGAAATAGCTTATTAGTCTCAAACTAATAAACAGCTGAGCTAGCCCCAGTTTGGGTTCCACATGAATACAGCTATGAGAGTTCTTATATAAATCTGTGTAGGAACTTGAACCTTTATCTTGGTTAATATCTAGGAATGGAATTTGTGGATCACAGGAGATATATATTTTTTCATAAATCGTCAAATTTTCCCAGATTGGTCATGCCCTTTTTCACTTATTTCAATGAAACATATAAGATTACAGGTTATTCCATAATAACCATCATCATTTAGCTTGGCCATTCTGTTAGTGTACATGGTAGTAATTTTTATGTGTAATTTTGATTTTTATATTTCAACCAGTTAAAAATGTTATTAAAAATTTCTAACTTGTCAGCCCTACAAAAATAGGTGGAGAGGCAGCCCATTTTCTGTGTCCCTTCTGTACTTCTTAATAGCTTTTTTCTGTCAATAAATTCTTCCTACTTTTAACCTCCATTTTTCCTAGAATTCATTCTTTGATTTTAAAAAACACAAATGTGGTGTTTCAGACATCCAGCAGGTTGGGAGTTATATTTCCCCTATGTCATTGGAAGCCCCATTGAGATACTTGCATGTGGGTAAGAGTTTACTTTTTTTTCATAAATCCTGGATGTGAATCACTTAGAGTAATGAAAATATTTTATGTTTCAACTTTTTATGTTATGTCTTTACCATTGCTTATAATTGCTCATGCTTTGTCTCATACAATTTTATTAAAATAATGATAAGTTTAAATTAAAAACATGAAAGGTTATGATGCTTCTCTAATGGGACATTTTATTCATCTTTTGTATATGTTGCATTTGGACTTAGTTGCTGAGTTTACTAGTGTTCCTTGTTTGACTTGCCTGCTGTGATTTGTTATCTTGAATAGCAGTGATAAGGAAACAGAATATTATAGCATCCCCTAAAGGGCTTTGACATAAAATGCTGTAAAATGGTCTTTTTATGAAATCTAGCTCATACTTAGAAAATATGCACAGGATTCCTTTCACCAGTTAAAGACACAAGTCTATGGCCATTCTTAAGACTTGGAAGACAAGTTTCACTGAGATAGAATGGTTCTGATCCTCCTCTGTACTCTACAGGAAATGTCGAACCTGTTCTGCTTCAGTTTCCTTTCTGGTCTGATCTTCCACTGATGAGGAGGCAATTTTAACTCTCGAAATTCCCCATTCTAGCCTTTCCAGGGTGAGAATGAGATTCAGGGGCAAATTGTTGCAATAACTCACCATGAGCATGAGAAAAGAAGATTTCTATTCTCTGGCTTGACTTCTAATCTTTTCCTGCCACTTTGTACATTTTTTTTTTTTTTTTTGTCTTTTTGAGACGGGGGTCTTTCTATGCAGTTCAGGCTTGCCTTGAGCTCACTCTGTAGCCCAGGCTGATCTCGAACTCTCAATGATTCTCCTACCTCAACCTCTTGAGTGCTGAGATTACAAATGTGAGCCACCACACCTGGCATTTTTTTACCTGTTTTTGAAGGCATGTATAAGTAAAGACCAAAGAACTCTATCACAACCTTTTTTGCCTATCCAACAACTAAGTTAAGCCCATAGAAAGTGAGCTTGGAATTTTCCTGTTCATGAGGACACACATAAAAACCATGTTCTGGCTTAGTCTTTTGGGCAACAGGCTCCCCAGGAGACTCAACCTGAGGACCCCCACCCCTGTGGAAAGAACCAACTTCTGGGTGAAACTTGAAGGAGCCATTTTCAAAGCACAACATTTTAAGGGCCCAAAACACATTTAGTCTAAGGGAGGATCTCCAATCATTTCTCTCCCTTTCTAGGTCTAGTTATCATTTACGTGTATAGAAAAATATTTGATAATATGTTGTGGACTTTGAAACCTCTACTGCAACTATATTGGTTCATCATAGCCTTTTCCCACCTCATACCCACCTTGTGATTTCACATTAATACTGATTACCTAAGTGACTATGCTTGTAATCTATTTATTGACTATAGTTCTGTCCCACCTTGAACCTGCTTCACCTCATGGCTTCACCTCATGGTTCACCTCAGCGAACATCCTTGAGAAGTGCTGTTGGTGGGCAACCTACTTTCTGAGACCCCTTCTGTCCCTCTCTGATAGACGCTTTCTTTCTCCTAATAAATTCTTCCCACTCCTAAAAAAAATAGGCAGTAGGCTGGATTTAGCCCATGGCTACAGTTTACTAATAAGTGATTTAGTAGGTGAGTCTGAAAAGAGAAATTTTATATATATTTCAATATATTATCATCAACTAGCAGTAGTTATTATTTGTCTATTTCTTCTTTCAGTCATTATAGAAAACTAAAGTTTTTATTTTATTTCTTATTCTAAATGTGCTAAAACTGTAATGTGGAAATTTTTAATTATACTCTCTAATCATTTTGGGAATTAAAAAATAATTTAGACCCAATCTTCTCAGTTTTATTTTTTTGAGTTTAAACCTTTACAACAGAAGACCACACAATTCTTCCATATCTGTACTTAGTTATGCTTTATGACAAATTGATGAATATCATAGGCTCTAAGAGTCTCTATCACCTAGAGATAGCAATATATTGCATATTTTCTCAAACATTTCCATGCTTCTGTATGCATTGCCTCCTTCTACTGCTTAATTTGGAGAGTTTTCAAAACGAAAATAAAAGGTGAAAAATAAAAATCTGCCTAAAGTCCACTTCTGTGGAACTTGGCAACTTAAAACAGCAGAAAATTTTCAAGATCAGCAGAACCATGATGGTAATAGTTGAAGCCAAATGACAGGTTCAGGGGAGCTTTTTAGGGTATATTTGAAATTTTTCACAATAAAAAGGCTTAAAAATTTCTGAGGCCATGCTGGAGAGTGAAGGTCAGTTCTGTGATGGCCACAGAGCACTGCAATGCTGGTAGTCACAAAGCCCTGGCCAGCACTAAGAGAAGGAGGTGCCATGAACCACACCATGCCAGAGGGAGGTGGCCGAGGCTCTGCCCACGTGATGATGGACAGTTACAAGAGTTAGCAGCCTGTGACAGAGCTTACCTATTCCCATTTCAGTAGATTTTTATAGATTTATTGTTTAAATTAGTTTATTCTTTTAAAATGACTCTTAATTTTAGCTTACCTATTCCCATTTCAGTAGATTTTTATAGAATTATTATTTAGTTTATTCTTTTAAAATGACTCAATTTTAGCTTGTGACAGGCTATTGTGAGAACAAATGTATTTCAAATACAGTTTTCAATAACGTGGACTGAAAAAGTCAAAAAATTTTCAAGAGTGTCAGTTCACTTACCCTTCATTCTTTTCAGTATCACAAACCATGAAGAATACACTGTCATTTAATACTTTTAACATATTTTTAAATTTCTACCCAGTATGGTAAGTGATTTTCTACCCATATATTCCATTGTTTTCAAGGATTATTGGCTACTGAAAACAAAAAAGAAAGAATATGAAAGTACCATTAACAACACATTAAAGGTTTTCATTCAGTCTTTCATGAACTGAATATTATATTCTCCTGATATCAATAAGAATTTTAGTCTACATTATATAATTTGATATTTAAAAACAAAACAAAAATGAACACTAGCCAACCTGTGCTTTTCTCATGTACACCAGAGGCTCTTTAAGGTGTTCAGGAGGAGCAGCGGGATGACGAGGTAAAGGGTACCTACAAGCAAGAAAAGGCAGCTAAGTATTATGTATTACTCTGGAACACTGATTTGCTTGGTAAGAAGTTAATTACTTCTGTATTCCATATTGTAAATTAAACAGAATATTTGCTACTTAAATCTGTGTGTTTCACAAGATGCAAGGATCTACTGAAATTTTAACTCTTATCATATAAATTCCAAATTAAATTTTAATTATACATTAAAAGTTAAATTGAATAATAGCCTAAATTCATCAGTTGTAGTAATCACACAAATGGTCACATGAAAATTATCATAACAGTTAATAATATAAATAGTATTAACTTTAAGAGGAATTCTTAAGGTTAAAAAAATACATTAACTTGACAATATATCAATTCATTTCTCCCTATTTTCTTGATGATTATATATGTATTTGATAATTTAAATAACATAAATATTACTTTTGATAATAGCCATATTTTAATAGATAATAAATTCACAAATATGCCAACTTTAAAAATTTTAATGTACGATATATTCTTTTTTTTTTTTTTGGTCTTTTTCCTTTTTATCGGTACCGGGAATCAAACTCACGGGCGCTTATGCCGCTGAGCTAAATCCCCAGCCCAACGATACATTCTTTTAATTTTTGAATAACATTACATTTCTTACTTGAAAATATATTTTTTATAACAAAAGTAATTTAGTTCATAAACATTTGAGCCATTCTAGGTACTGAATACATGGTAGTGATTAAGTAAATATCCACTGTTCTCATGGACTTAACTTTCTAGTGAAGACATTTAATAAATATGAAAACATACAAACATGTTGAGTAATACAAGATAGTAACAAATGCCATGAAAAAACTAAAGCAAGGCAATGAAACCAGTAATCTGGGGAACTGTGAAGGCTTGTGGGGAATCTGACACTTGAACTAAGACAGGAGTGAGAAGGAGCCAACTTTGCAAAGAATGAGGGGAAGAATGTTCTGGGCAGAGAGACAGCAAACACAAGACTCCCAGGTGGGAATGTTTAGGATGTTTCATGACCAGAAAAGGCCAAAATAGGTGGAACTGAACAATGGAAGTGGAAACTGGTATGAAATCTCACAAAGTCAAAAAGAAAACATAGTGGTGCAATAATCTCCTTCACAGCAATACTGAAATTAGTCTAGGATTTATGACTTTTACCTACACCAAAATAACATTGTTTCAATAATAAAGAACCACAAATTGAAGTCTCAAGAAATTTCTGGTCCAAAGTGGGACAGCAGCATGTAAAGAGTTGATATTCCAAAACACCTGTGTCTCAGAGCTGAGATGGAAAGAGTTCAGTTATCCACAAGAAACATGTCTGGGATGGAAAATAGCAATCAGTCCTATCTAATCTATAAGAAAGTTTTAATAATTGATTATTTCTGGCAAATTACTTTTTCTACAAACTGCATTCTGTATACATTTCCTCACACAGATTTTTTTTAAATTGATAGACTCTAGATACCCTAGTATTTCCGGTCTTACATGTAAGGCAGTCTAAAAACCATCTCACATTGCCTACTATATCATTTATAAAAATACACATAGTTTGGTGTTCCAAATTCTTCTGTTTTAATAGTAAATATATCTAAATTTAATAAAAGTTAGAAATTTAGGATTGAAACGAAAGCATTTACTGATGAACTGTGTGTGCTTTGTACGTGTGTGTGTTTAACTACTCCAGTGATTTAATGTTAGCTACCTAATATTCCTATTATACCTTCTGCTTTACTTACTGACCCATATAAAAGTTGCTGGCAATGAAAAAAAAGGTGACAGAATACGCTAAATTCACTTTATTCTTCTAACTTACATTAGGGGAAACACTTCTTCTCCACTCCCGATGTGCCTTGCCATGTGAAAAGAGCCTCTCCAGGGCTTACACAAACTGTACTACAGATCAAGTCTAAGGCTTTATTCAACTTTTATATTTAGGAAGAATATACTGAGCATGCTCACTCTGATCCAATGATTTTGGGCTGAAATGCTAAGTAAGCTATTTAATTCTGAAATTCACTGTAGGGCTTACTTTGCTCCCTGACTGAGCTCTGCCCTCCTACTTAGTCTTCATGAAGCACATAAAAGTCATTTGATCTATTTATCTATTTGTTCAGAACCCAAGTGAAGAAGAAAGGTAGTGTTAGCAAGCTCCTACAAAAACTCCAACAAGCTACTTAAAATACTATTTAAAGTGCTATTATTCAGAGTCTTAAAGATGTAATAATGAATGAAAGGAGGTCCTTGTCATCAACTAAAAAGATAGACTCACATGAAACTATTTCCAGGAATGTGTCAGAGTACAAAAATAGTATGATGAGTAAAATCATAGGCATCTCTGTACATATTTATATTAGTATGTCTACTATATACTGTGAATTAAAATCTTACCAGTTATGATATTCACCTATGTATCTGGTGACTAGCGCTACCAAAGGTATGGTGATAGTCAAGGTCAGTTATCAGATAGCACTTCTATCTGGTGTTTAAGAAATTGAAAACCAGTTGAGAAGACAGTGCTAAGTAAAGAAATAAAAGCACTGAGAAAAATTTTGTATCAAAAGCATTTGTCCACAGGCTTCACCTGAGTATTTTAGAAACCATCTAGAGAGGTGGGTTATATCATTTCCAGTTAACACGAGATTAGAATGGGTAACTTAAAAAGAAAGTATTAGATATTGGAGAATGCTAAAAACAGACAAAATGATAATTATAAAAAAGAGACAGAGAAAATTAGCAGACATAACAATGAAGACTATAAACTCCAGAAGAGATACTATTTTATTTTTCTATACAATATACCCAGTGCCTAGCATAGTGCTGGTATATAGTAGGTACTCAGTAAATGATGAATAATGGGATAAACTACAAAAGCTAATGTTCTGGATGTAAATTTTTGTAATAGCAAATAGTTCTGTAGATCTAACCCTGACGGTAAATCTAGATAAACAAAAACACTGGTTTTCTTAATAATGACACCAATTTTACAAAGAAAAATGTAATTATCTTTAGAATGGTCCATGTATATAAAAAGGTTAACATAAAAATTTGCAACAATAAAATGAACATTAGTAAGCTTCAGTTTTTTGCAATATTAAGAGAAATATTTTATTCCCTAATAATACTGGATGAATGAATTGTTAATATAAAGCTTTGAGTGGTTAAAAAATAAGCCTCACCTATTTATTAGCACTTCTCATGAAAGAGTATAATAATGTTTGGTTTTTTGAAACAAGGTATTACTATGCAAGACTTAAACTCACTATATAGCCCACGTTGGTCTCAAATTCACAGCAATCCTCCTGCTTCAGGCTCCCCAATGCTGAAATTACAGGCATAGACTGCCATATTTGGTGATTGTGGTAATTTTTAATTGCATTAACTTAATTAAAATTTAGGTATATACCTAAAATTAATGATAAATTATCATTATCTAAGTTAATGATAAATGATAATTCAGTGTACAGAGAAACACAATACACATAAAAATACTGGTTTTATTACTTAGTAAATATAGCTAAACAAAACAGTATTTCAAAATAGATGGGAAAAACTCACACGTTCAGTTCACTATAAACAGCATTCTGAAGTTTCTTCTCCCAACCTGTTTTTTTAAAAAGAATACAATGTATGAACATATTAGTTTTTAAAAATAAGTACACATCATAATGAAATTTAACTCACCAAAACTTTGCCAACATATTCACTTGTGAAAGAACTTTGTCAACTGTCAGACACTGTATAAATTAATATTAAGGCATTGTTTCCTACTTTACTTACTTTACTTTAGCTCTTGGCTACTACTGAGAAGCAAAGTCATCAACATGATGTTATTTTTAAGTAAAACTATTGTACAATTGCTGAAGATGTCCTATCATTGTGAAGATGCTCAGTGAATGCCAAAATCTTAGGCATCATAGTAGATGTGCCAAGGGGCAGGGTAAAAAGCAGTTTGGCACTTGACATAGGTCACAAATATTTAGTTTTAATATAGTCAATATACTGGAAGATGAAGTGAATCCTTTCAAGTTATTACCAGTAATACCTCAGTTCCTGTATGCAGGAGTTGATACAAGACAGATGGTCTCCTTGATCTACACAAAGATTAAGATTTTCTTTATGTTTTCTTTGCAAAGAGAAAAATAATGAAGAAGGAAAAAAGCCTCACTGACAATTTAAAAGCAACTTACTTAAAGAAATAGTTCCGAGTTTGAGGATATTTTTAACCAGAAGGCAATCATGATCTAAAATTAATCACTGAAGCAAGTCATTCCCACAGTGTTCCCGAATTTTTGTACCATTTTATTAAAATATCTGATAGTTCCAATTCTCCCCAGCAGTAACTCATTCAGCCACAGTTTTCACAATTTCTAATAAGTGACTAAAAGTCTGGGGATAATTAAAAATTAGGAGAAAAAAAGTACAAACCTGTTATTTTAAAGAACTCTTTTATATCTTCTTTTAGTGATTCAAGTCTAATCTCAGGTCTCTGAAGACTGGCCTAATTTTTAAAAAAGAAGAAAGGAGAAGAGAGGAGTTAAAAATAAATCATTTGGAAATGATTTTTTAAAGGAATTAAATGATTTATTAAAGGAATTAAAAGCAAATGTCCAAATATGAGTAGTATTTGAGAAATCTGCTTTGAGGTATAGGACCTTAGAAATATCTGGATAGCTCATAAGAGAAAAGATTTTTTTCATATGCTTTAAAAATAACCATTTCTGTGATAGTATACTTTAGTCTACTAGAAAACCAAACTTACAGATGATGAATGCTTAACACATTTATCTAGGATCTCCAATAGGAAAGATACTCAGATTTTATAAATCCATTCTCTGAACATTTTATCTAACACATATGGTAACTATATTCATTGACCAAAACACTAGTTCATCCATGTAAATGGGTCTTGAGCAATGTCTTCCTCTTTGGATTGCTCCTCTATGCAAATGTGTTACATTTATTAAAAATATATGTGACAATTAGTTCATAGATGTTTATTATTAATGTTTCTTAACCTCCAAGTACATACTTTCTACTCTACTGGGTTTTTATACTACAATTTTTACAACACATAACATTTTCCTATTTCTAGTGGCTTGGAACACTCTCATCACCTAAAGCTTCATCAAATTCTAGAAGCATATTTCTTAAGATATTTCTGTTTGGCTTTTGCATAAACATCCCAAACATAAGAAATAAAAAACTGATCTGATCTTCTACTTGCTGCTTGCTCTTTTTCTTCTATCTTTAAATCTTCATCAATGAAATTACCACCCACAGCTTCTTCTAAATAAGAAATGTCAAACTTCTTCCCAATTCTATGCTAACTCTTCCATAACCAAATCCCTTTCTAGAGCAATGGCACTGGCAACAGTTTGTTTTATATCCCTATTTCCACATTTAAAAATAAAACAGGACCAAGCAATTAGACAACAAAACCAAAATTCCAAGGTAATCATTGTAAAGTAGGGGATATTGTCCACAAATGCAAAATACAATCAGCTGGGACAAACAAATGCCATAGACCTGTGTGGCATTAGCATCTATATAGGATGAAGCAGAGGGAAGCAATGGGATGTAAGTTGTATGTGAAATCAAAAGAACCTCCAAAAAGCCAACAAATATGCTCTGAAACACACAATGAGTCAATTTCAGAACAGGAGATAATCTTTGTACTATAAGGCATATTCAGGAAAGAATAAATATTGACAGTAATCAAATTTTTGGGTGACAGAGAACTAATTCATTACCTTGAAAAACTATAAACAAAGAAAAAGGCATTTATCCTGCCTTCCCATAGGAATTGAATCCTGAGTAACCAAATAATAAAGTAAGGGAAATGTCTCTGCATAAAAGCATTGCAACTAATAAGTAAAACATATAATATAATCAGAGTATCACAATTTTGCAACCAATGAACTGAGCAGAAATAGCTATTAACAATGCAAGAGACACTTAGACAGTATGTGTTTCTCAATAAAAGAACACTCTACTACATATAGCCATGACAAAGTGTAGTGAAGCTCTGGATCCAGTTGTCAATTCACAAGACATACAAAGCACAGAACATGCTGAGTGGCAGCATAAGCTCACAATCAGAAAAGCCCACACTGAAGGAATTCTAAGATCAAACATCCCAATTCCTCAGATAATAAATTGCAGAGAAAAAGGAGGGAAGAACGTGCAGATTTCAAAATACTTAAAAGATACATAAAATTATGTTAATTGGCAAGACTAAGCTATACTAAAAGATACACAGTTAGATAATAAAAGTATCAGGTAATACTACAAGTGATTATCATAAACGTCAGATCGTCAAGGAGGGAAAAGTTTGAGATTAGGATGTATAAGTAGAGGAAATAATTGGCAAAGTTTTACTTCTTTTTATGGGGTAATTGTTCTGGTCATTCGCCATAAAACAACACATTACAGTTTGTTTACTTTCTATTTTATAACAAAAAGATTTTAAAAGACATGGAAGAAATATGTCTCCCCATCTATTCTTTTTCTCCATCTTACAGTACCATCTTTATCCTAAGTCTTGATCACTTACTTAGATTACTGCAACAGCCTTTTGCCACTTTATTCCCCACGTGGCACTCACAAATCCCTCTATTTTTTCTTCTTTCTTAGTATGTATTACTTCACAAAATACTGTGAATTGATTTACTTACTATGCTTATTGGTACACCGTCTGCCTAGTTACACTGCTAAACTCTTCTAGAGTGGCCATCTTTGTCTCATGTACTGTTGTATGTCAAACAACCTAGAATTACTATTTTTGCACAGGTGCTCAGGAAATGCTTATTGAATGAATGATCAATTTTTCCCTTTTCCAATCTCTCATTCAGTGTTTTGTTCCTAAAGTATTGACCATGGCTCTCCACAACATACACAGAAGTTTAAATTTGTCAACAGGTTTATTTGTGACCTGTTATAATACAAACTAAACTTGTCTGTACAAATTCACCTCTTGCTGTGCTTTACCAAGATACCACCTTCTATTTCTCACACGCATGCACATGACTATCTAGTCATAGTGAACCTTATTCTCTGATAGCCCTGTCAAGTCCCTTATGGGCTCCAAGCTTTTGTTCATGCCCTTTCCCCCAGGTGGAAGTGCTTCTTGGCCAGCTTGTTAACCACTGAGTAGGCTCTACAGTACTGCTCACTTATCCCTCCTTTGTCAGCTCCAACCAGCAAGAGTGAAACATTATGTTCCTCTGTTACAGAACATAACAGATTACAATGCAATGTTCAGCTCACTAATTTAACTTTTTGATTAGACAATAAATTCAAGGACAAGGACCAGATCTTCATTTCTGCATCCCAAGCATTACTATGGCATTAACTGTTGCTTCACAAAATTATATTAACTACCCATTGCCTATGATTTTTAGCTTGTTTCCCCTCAAAATAAACAAGGAATTTCATAAAATTATTTTTAACTGAACAGAATGGTTTGAAGTCTCCCAGGGAAGATTTTAAAAGCTGTAAAAACCCCTCTTCATTATTCAAAAGGGCAAAGGCAAAAGGAAATAAACTTTATTTTACTAGCCTACATTTGAAAATAATTCAGAAACAACATAATTTAAGACATTTCAAGAGGAAAAATGGTTATTCTAAGTGTTTCCAATATTTCAAGGTCATTAGACTCCCTAGATATACTCTTTTACACCAAAAGAAAACCAAATTCATTAACCATTTAAGCTAAAACAGGTCAACGACAAGAGAACAACAAGGTAAGGCACAGCAACTCTAAAACATGATTTAGCAGGAAAAAAAAAAACACTTTTGCAAATGAAATATAAACACTATTAGGAATTCTATGTATAAAACACACTGAATGTGGTATTACTATACAGTGAGTCTAACATGCCTTTTTTCATTAGCTAGACTTAGGGTTAGCAATAGGAAGGTATACCTTTATTCTGAGACAGCCTCAATATCTAATTTATTTCTTTATGCTGTTTAGGTTGTTCAACATAGAGGGAAAAAACCCTGATTCATAGAAATAAGTCTTAGCATTTCAAATAGATTTCCAGGCAATCTCAGCACATTCCCAAATTAAAATGATGCAGGAAATTGAAAAAGTACTTGGAAATTTTTGGTTTAGAGATAAACCCAAAAGTTATTTGTCATAATTGCAAAACTCAGACAAAGAGCTTCTGATATTTACAATGCTAAAACTAGGCACCACATGTTATTAGTGCTACAAGGTCCTACTGGTTGTTTTGTCATATATCTCAGACCATGTTGAGCCCCTGTGTTTGTGCTTCCCCTGGTCAACACCAACCGTAGCAAGACCCTGGTGCTGTATTTTCACTTAGACAATGCACCAGGAGCAAACATTTTGGGGCCTAAATATCTGAGACAGTGCATCAGTGAGTCTTCCTCATCAGTAAAACATTTGTAGCCTATTCCAAATACATGAAGAGAGACAACAGAAGCAGTTTTTTTCTAGGATCTTCCCAAAAACAAATTAATTTAGAAACAGAGTAGTGTGCTGTACACTAAACACTTGATACTTAACGATTTTAAAGTGCTGTTTCTTAGTATAATTAATTAAATATTTTAAATGAATAGAACTTTTTGGATATATGAGAACACAATTTGAAATGCTCTTGGGACTAAATGAGTTACTTGGCTGATCAAATCATTTAACTTCTCTGTACCTTAGTTTTCTTCTTTATTCAATGGGGAATATAACATCCAAACTAAAATACTATGAATCTACATAGCCCAATATAAGTTAAAGTTACAACAGCAAAGGATTAAATATTTGTAACATACTAAGAAGGGAGTTAGTGGGGGTGAAGATAGAGGTTTCAAAAATATCTACAACAAAAGTTAAACTTTCTACTCACTATAAGAACTATGATAAACTCTAGCAAGAGAATAAACGGAAAACTCACAGTTATGCCCTGCATACATACTTCTCCCATTTATTTATGACTCAGAATCTTCCATCCTTTGACATGCCTAACAACACATGTTTTTCCTCCTACAAACAAACACATAGATCCAGTGTCTTCCTCTACTATAACAGTCTTAACCCAAAACCTTGCAGCTAGAAAATCTTAAATTTCTAATCTTCTTGAGTGAAAGAAACCAGGGAGCAAAGCGGCTGAAGTAGTGGCTGGGTCAAAGAAGCTGGGACGTAAGCTGAGGGTAAGGACTCAGTGAAGCATAACACAGGGCAAAGGAGTCCCAAAGATCCTGTAATTCTCTCCACCTCGGTGCCATCCTCTGCGCTGCTGATAATGCTAATCCTGGACTTTGCCCTTTCCTTCAGTGCTCATCAATTACAGAATGCCAGGGTTAGAAGGAACTGTAAAGTTCAGCAATGTCAACTAACCATAGAAGGCCTGACTCCAGGGAGTTTCCAAGTGAGAAACTCCAACTAAGAAATACTAAACTAGTTGGAGTTTAGTATTTCTTAAACTAAGGGGCTGGGGGTTTAGCTCAGCGGCATAAGCACCTGCCTTGCAAGCAGGC